GATCTAGCAGTAGCCTGCAGTGCTGCATTTAACCACTGCGCCACCTTGGCTTCACCTTGGAAGCCAACAGCAAAGAGCCCAAGCAAAGAATCTCTAAGACCATCCCCACCAACACTGAGAGAGCAAGTCCCCAGAATGTACACTGACAGCAAACTACACTCCTTTATCAGCACTGATGTTACCTACTTGGGTAAGGAAACGTCTGCTAGAAAACAAGCAAGCTCAGAGAGCACCAAGGGCCCTTCATGTCAACCCTGAGCTACAAATATTCTCCTTTATTATCAAAGTTGCTTGAGAGTATAAGCTCTATGGGACATAAAACACCCCATAAGTTGCAAAGCAGTTTCAGACTAAAGAATAGTTATCAAGGGGGTGGGGGGACCTTATTCTTAGCTAAAAGGTAACGGTAAAGGTTCCCCTCGCACATATGTGCTAGTTGTTTTCAGCTGTAGGAGGCGGTGCTCATCTCCATTTCAAAGCTGAAGAGCCAGCGCTGTTGGAAGACATCTCCGTCGTCATGTGGCTGGCATGACTAAACACCGAAGGCGCACGGAATGCTGTTACCTTCGCACCAAAGGTGATTTGTATTTTTCTACTTGCATTTTTTATGCGCTTTTGAACTGCTAGGTTGGCAGAAGCTGGGACAAGTAATGGGAGCTCACTCCGTTACGCGGCACTAGGGATTCGAACTGCCAAACTGCTGACTTCTCTGATCGACAAACACAGCAACTTAGCCACTGAGCCACCGCATCCCTTTCTTCGTAGCTAATATGAAAATAGCATAAATCTGCCTCGTTCTCTCATCTTAATGCTTGAAAAATATAATCATCAGGGATTTCTTACCCAGTTGAATGTTAAGTCAGACACAGGGAGATGCTTGCCTAAGTCCCAACCCTGAAACTCTGAAGGTCCTGTCAGGTCATATGTTTCCCAAGTACGCCTGATGAATTTCTAATTGAGTCATAATTAGACTATTCAGGTTATTTGATCCTTGTGTCTACTTCCTTGCTCTTTGTTCATTTCCGAAGATACAGATTGAGAGACCATTCCAATGACTAAACTTATCGATTCCGGAGGCTGCCAAAAAAAACCCCAAACCATTTTCAAAGTCTGAGTTCAAATCCAACTCGTTGTGCAACCTGAAAAATACAAGTCAGTGCAGCAAAGGCAAAAGATTTGCCAATTTTTTTTGTATTCAGTTTTTGTGTGTCTTTGTTGTGAACATCGCTATTCTCTTTATTGGGCTCTACTGCCTTAGCATTAAACAAAGTCCGTTTCACGGACTTCTTGCTGCTTTTACATTATTTAAGCTTATATTCCCCAGGTTTACCCTCAAAGTGATGCTAAGATTTAGCTGGTTGTAAGCTTTCCTAGTTTGTCTGCTCCACTGAGAGTAAATCCCAGTTTTTAAGTCCCCCCCCCCCCCCCCGTATTGCTAGCTTACTAACTTTTGTTTCATATGATGATGTCTCGCTGCCATTAGGACCATCTGTCCCTTTTCTCTTTAAGTGTGCCGGATAAAAGCCAATGATCCATTTTTGGATTCCTAATTATAATTGCCAAATGTGCAAATTAATGACGGGCCTCACATGCTCACACACACACAGACGATGGTGCACTGGGGTGTGACACAGCAGGCTCTTCTGTGAAAGGAGACGTAAAAAGCAGCAGCAAGGGCCGGAGAGAGGAAGCTCTTGTCGCCACCCTTTCCACATGTTTGTGCAATCCTTGGTTTGTTGTTCCTTCACTTGGGAAAGATCATGTGACCACCTCACCACATGATCACCCCTTAATTCTAAAGGGTTCCATTTTTGTTCGTCTGGTATAGATTGCCAGCTAGTCAAATAATTACAGAATACATTTTAAACTTCTGGAATGTGTAACTCAAAATATGTTCAATATCAAAAAAGCGAGCGTGGCCTCCCTGGACTCCATTTTCACTGCCTGAGGGCTATAGGAGGACGTCATGGCCAAAAACGGAGTCTGTCCGGGCCACGTACTAACCCCTCAGGCTCCATTTTCGACCACAATGGTCTCCAGCAATGAATTCGACTAACCCCGCCTGGGCCACCACAGATGCCCTTAACATGAGTGGCGCTGATTTCATTGAGAACTGCATCAGAGTTGTGTTTGACCTTGGAGTGTTAAGCTGGGCGTGGCCAGCTTGAAGTCACTCCTGTCAGGAGGTCCCTGTGGTGGCCCAAGCGCTCTGCTGGAGAAAACAGGCTCCCAAGCTCCGTTTTTGGCTGCCACGGCCTCCTGCAACCCTCTGCCAGTGAAAACGGTTGCAGGAGGGCATGGCAGCCAAAAATGGAGCTCAGGAGCCCATTTTTACTGGTAGAAGCACTGTGGGCCGGTCCTTAGCTGTTTCCAGGGCGGCCCTGCAGGCTAGATCTAAGTACTGGTGGGCCAGATCTGGCCTCTGGGCCTTGAGTTTGACACCCCTGGTCGAATGTATGGCTTTCAGATTAATAGTTTACAATTATGCAGTCTTGCTCAAAATGTTTTCAGACTCTTTGCTGATCTTCATTCCCCTTTGTGGTGTTTGTTTCTCCAGGCCTCCACCTCTTCACAGCAGCCCCCAAACCACTTAATTTCAACATTGGAAGGGAGATATTGTCAAATAGGTGCCCCTGCAAATCCTGAGGCAAGATTCTTCCTCCAATTGCGGTAAGTTTTAAATCTGTTCCCAATCTTGTTCAAACTCTTAATCCAATATTAGGTGGAAAATCTTCTAGATATTTACTCCTTCGACGAATATGAAGTCTCAGATAAGATTAAGAATGAAGCTTAGCCTCTAACAATTGTTGGCTTTATTCAAGGACACGTTTGAAGTGCAATGAAATCCCCAACTGTACGACACCCTGAAATATTTAAGCATCTTATTCAATTAAAATAGGACATTTACACGTTTAACCCAGAAACAGAAGAGCGGCTACAACTTCAGATGATCATTTGTACAGACAGCCATCTCTTCATACCGTTGGCAACAATAAGGTACAGTCGTATAATGTTGTGTTTATGCTACATAAATAAACATATTTGGATCAAAAACATCTTTCTGCCATTAAGTCTGAACCTGGATGTAATTCATTGTGAAGGGGACAAACCTGCGCCACTTTAACGGAATTCTGCGTAGATCCACCAGCATGATATTCTACCTTGAATTTTCTCACCAGTTCTTCAAATCTGAAAGAGATCACAAAGGGGAAGAAAAAAAGAGGGTGAAAAAAAAGAGAATACATTTTGTGATTCTGTATATTTCAAAACTTCATGTTATGGAACGTTGTGAGGATTTCAATTTAAGGCAAGGGTGTCAAACTGGGGGTCCGCGGGCTGGGTGCATCACGCAAAGGCCACACCCACCCCAGTTACGTGCAGGCAAAAAAAATTGTGATACTTTGCATGACATCAATTTGACGCAGCAGGTTTGACATCCGTGATTTAAGACATTGATATAGCAACAGTTCAGTAGGAAATTAACTATAATAGACTATTACCGTGTTTCCCCCAAAATAAGATCCTGTCTTATATTTTTTTTTTGCCACCAAAAAAGGCACCAGGTCTTATTTTCAGTGGGGGGGAATGTCATCCACTGACTCACCTCACTTGCGCATGTCGCCCCGGCCTCTTTTTTGCTATCAGAAGCCTTCAGGAACTTCTTCATCTGGCAAGACCAGCAAAGCTTTCCTGAAGACCCCTGCAGCCAATAACAAAGCTCCGGATCAATCCAGAGTTCCGTTATTGGCTATAGAGGACTTCAGGAAAGCCTTGCCGGCTGCAGCAAACGAAATGGGCTAAAGTGTGCGAGGCCTGGCTGCAACTATCCAAAGGTAGGTAGTAGGGCAGCGCCACACACTCCATCCTTACCCTAGCTTAATTTTTACCTGTGCACCCTGGAGTGGGTGGGATCTTAATTAGGGCTTATTTGGGGGATAGGGCTTATATTGAGTGCACCAGAGGTGGGTTCCTACCGGTTTGGAGGAGTAGGTAGTAACTCGGCCGGCCACGCCCCTGAACTGTTTCTATCAGCAGTAGATAGTTATAGGCACCATCTAGTTTTTTACTACTGTGCATGTGTGCGTAGTGCGCATCAAGCGTGTGCGTGCCCAAAGCGCATCCCTGAGTGAACCAGCAGTAACAGAAGCTGGAACCTACGCCTGGGGTGCACATGTAAAAATCAAGCTGAAACTTACTTTCTGAGTAGTTCATATTTTGGGGGAAACACGGCACTTGTTTTTGCAAGAGACAAGGTTGATAAAGCAGGAACTGTTAAAGCATTATGAATGGGGTCCCCCCCCCCTATTTTTTCTATTTTGCTCAACCCACAGAGGAAACCATGAGAAAACATTTTTATATATGATTGCAGTGGCCAAACTACAGAAGAAAAAATATATTCTTTAGGATAGAGGCATGAAATCTGGCACTTATAAAGATCAAATTACAGTAGAAAGGATCCCCAAAATTCCACAAGCTACGCTGGATTTTAGACAAAAGGCTGAGAAATGAGAACTCATAATGGCAATCTATTTCACTGTTATTTGAAAGAGTTAAAATACTCTCAAGTTCTAACAGCTCAATTTGCTTTGTCTTTATATGAGATTATGGGCACTAATCAGACCTAAACAAACAGGGCAATTTATAAGGCAACATAAGACAATTTAATAGACTAAATAAGTTGCAAAGTCAATATTTAATAACTTTGCACTCCGTTTGGAAAAAACTCTGTGAGTTCATGCTAATCGGTTTTTAAATGTCCTTCACGAAAACATTAATAAGCAAATCTAAATTGTAACTCTTAAATCAAGGCTAATGTAAATCATCTTGAAACTAGTACTTTAGCATTTCACAAATTAGCCTCTGGATTATGGAATCCCACTTTGGGCTCTTCCCACAAGGGTTGTGGGAAGGATGGCTTCAATTTTTATTTCCAATTGATCAGGTTTTGAAAGCTTCTTACTGGTTTTATTTAATCAAAGTTTTGAGACCATTCCTGTTTTCAATCTGGAGTCTCCCTACACTTTCAGCTCCAATTCCTACTTCACTGTGTGTGTGTAAGGGAGAGAATGGTGCCTGCCCTTCTTGGAGGTCTCTTTTGCTGAGAATAGCTTGAATCAGTGGTGAAATGCAAAAAAAATTTACTACCAGTTCTGTGGCCATGGCTTGGTGGGTGTGGCAGGGGAAGGATACTGCAAAATCTCCATTCCCGCCCCACTCCAGGGGAAGGATACTGCAAAATCTCCACTCTCACCCCACTCTAGGGTCAGCCAAAGGTGGCATTTGCTGGTTCTCTGAACTACTCAAAATTTCTGCTACTGGTTCTCCAAACTACTCAAAATTTCCGCTACTGGTTCTCCAGATCCTGCCAGAACCTGCTGGA